TAAATCAATTTTGGCCCAATATGCAAGCCAATATCCGAAAATACCCAACCCAAACAACCCCCTTAATCCCTGTTGGCAATCCTTACCATCACCTCTCAGCTAGTCATGACCTGCCACGTCACTCGTCTCTCATACTCACAAAATAAACACAACCAATCCGGGTCATCCATTTCCTAGATCAACGGCCCATAGATTTATACTTTATTTCCTCTTTACACTCAATAACCTAGACTAAAACAAAAAATGAATCTATTTAATGTTGAAAACCAGGTTGTTACCTTAGTTTAGATACACTAGCTCATGAGCTTCAAACATGTTTTGTTTCTTTGACATGCCTCTGTGATTCTGTTAAATACCTAATTGAATTCATAACTATTTGTGTAAGCATGTCCTAAGTTAGTTGGATCTTTGTGTCATTTTGATGCATATTCTGAGATTGTTATATACTTTGCTTAAGTTGTGAGGTATGGACAAGATGTATTTAAGTTGCAATGTCACATTTGTTTAGCTAAATTACTGCTGCTAAGTTCCATTATATCTGAAGCCCCATCCCAAACATAGTTAACAAATTTTCCCAACATGATGATACCTCTACCCCTTTTTGAAACTCATATAGTGACAGCCTAATCCTATGATGATAACACTTTTATTTTGAAACAATATGATCCTTGTTAAGTCTCTTTGTGTGTGTCCTTGTGACCTGCACTTCTTTTGTTCTTCAATGCCTCTGATTGCCTTCATGATCACATACATGTCTGCATTGTCTTTAAAACCTCACTAGGCTTTCCGAAATAGATTAGACTTAGCTTGTGAACTCTAAGAGAATCTTTTGTTGCTACTACTTAAATATAACATCGTGATTTATTCTCAATGAGATTTGTGTGAAATTAAAACTCTTAGAAAGAAGTGATTATGCCATTGATTTTAAAGTTGAGAAGGACTGATAGTCTGAGATTCTGTTAGTACTCTTAGAAGTTCTAGTCAAATTTGTGAGTCTGGAACTTTGTTAATGTCTTTAGAAGTTCTAATTGCAGTATGTTAATTTATAATCCTGTTAATACTCATAGAAGTTCCAATTAAGTTTGTGAATATGTGACCTTGTTAATACTTTTAGAAACTCTGGTTGTAGTTTGGTATCCCTGATAGTACCTGTAGAAGGTCTAACTATGACTGCTGGTTTGAATATTTATTAATACTCTTTGAAGGATCTAATGGAAGTTGTTAACCTGTATCTATGTTGGAACTCTTTAGAGAGCATCAATTATAGTGATTAACCTGTAATGCGGTCAACACTCTTCAGAAGTCTTAACTGTAATTACTAATCTGCCCTCTCTTAAACCCCCTAGAAGTTTAATTGAAGCTGTTGGTCTATATCTTTGTTAATACTTTTTAGGAGTTTCAATTAGAACTGTTAACCTATGTGTGTGCTAGAAGACAAGACCTAAGTTAAAACCAATCTTTGATTAGTCTAATTGAAGACTGTTAAGGCAAATATATTTGTGTTCATAAACTGTTGCAGACTTGACTATATACTCTTTCTATCCTTAAGATAAATGATCTTGGGTGTTTGGTTCCTTAACAGAAATCTGATAATGTCTCTGCCTCTATATATGCTTGAAGTTGATTTCTTTTGAGCCTACTTAACATGTTATTCATTGTGAATCATACACTTAGCTTTTGAAATATGATTACAACAAAATGAATAGGTTGTCTTGTAGTCCTATAGTGTTCTGCTTTATATATATATATATATATATATATATATATATATATATATATATACACTTATGTGGTATGGTATCACTGTGATATTTCATAAACATAAACATCATGTACATGTTTTAAACTCTTTCAATTATATATACATACAAACATTATCTTCAAGACTCTTTTAAACTGATATCCTTTTAAAACCACACATCCTTTTTGCAAGTATCATGTTCTAAATTAATATAGTATAATGTACCCCTCCTTTAACACTAGTTAAGCATAATATGGACAACTAATCCTTTAAATCTAGTCTAAGTCCTATGGAGCTACCTCAGGTAGATTTTAAGGGATGCCTAACACCTTCCCCTTGGAAGAACAAGAACCCTTACCCACAATCTCACCGGTTAGCAGATAAAGAAATGACTACCTTAGTATACCTTTAAATATTAAGTGGCAGCTCTCTTTTATCATCAACAGAAAAATCACAAGTTAAATCTTGTTTTGACTCATGCAAAGTAGGGGGCAACATTGATTATATATCATGATTTCTATGGATTTATATACCTAAAACATGTAATTTTAAAGTAAAATTTGGAGTTTTTGTATACAATTTAAGAAAGTTTATTTTGAGGTTTTGAACACTGATTTGGACTCGGATTTGGGAAATAATCATATATTTGGTCTCGCGAAGTTAAGAGTCATCGGGATTTGATCTTGGTCTTGGCTTTTGGCCATGTGTGTCCGGGTTGATCTTTTTTGACTTTTGATATCTGATTAAAGATTGAAACTTTATTATTTGGAGTTGACTTATATAGCTTTATTTGAACTTATTGAATATTATTTGGCTAGACTTGAGCAAGTCGGAGGAGATTTCTAAAGGAAAGAAATTTTTGGAAGGTTGATTTGACTTACAAAAGATAAGTATCTCTCTTAACCTTGACTTGAGGGAATATTTTTCTGAAAAATAGAATTATTTGCTACGTGCTATGTGTTTTATGATGATGTATATGCGAGGTAACGAGCGTATATGCAGATACCGAGGTTATATCATATTTTGGGTAGATTCTAGGTTCTTTATGCCTTGAATGGGTAAGAGCTCTTCTTTACTTATGCTCTATTTGATTTTTATGACTATGTGGAACAATTATTCATGCTACAGATCATGTTTTAACCTATGACATCTTATTTAAGCTCGATGGGTTATTCTTGAGATTTGTTGATATATTTATTTGATCGTAGTCACACATTATATTATGAACATACATCCGCACATGTTATTCTTGCGATAAACCTTAAACTGTTGTATGGCTACTTGAGCCTCCTTATTCGCGTTAGACATGATAATTATTTAGATGATAGATTATATGTTGGGATCGTTGTCATATGTTAACGTAGGTGTGCATCTTACTTAGAGATCATCTCTCATATACATACATACATACTTGCATGATTACTTCTCTGCCGATATGTATTATATATGCCTATCTCTTATTTATATGCATACATCTCTACATATGGTCCATTTATATGGATCGAGATTATGGCACGTGAGTTGTCCGTACAATTATGATAATTATGGCATGAGGTTTCTGTCGTGCAATTTTGATGATATTGATATTGAGTATCGCACGTGAGTTATCTGTGCCGGTAGATATTATTATTGACATATGAGTTGGTCATGCAACACATGAGTTGTCCGGGCAAGCGATATTATTATTAGCACATGAGTTGTCCGTGCAACGCTTGAATATGGATTTATCCCTCCGGAGTAAGGTGATAATCCATTGTACTTTGGGCCCTATGAGCGATGTGTGTGGGTGTGTATATGTGTGTGTTGGTATTGATTCTGTAGAAAAGATTGAGTCTTGAGCATGCATTGACATCTTAGACTCGTGTATAAACATTCATATATATCATTGATATATGTACATTCACACATCCTCTGTATGCATGAGACTTATTAGCGGATTATTGAACACTTAGAGTGTGTCGGGTTTGATGTACATATTAAGACTTTATCATGCATTGATAGTTAGACTAATGATAGAGCATTAGTATAAATGCTATCCGAAAAGTGTGAGAAAATAAATCTCTATCATGCATAGTCCCTTTTATGATCATGTAGGAGTACTTGAATAAAAGCTATTTGGTGCAACTTGTATTGATATGCAGATTTGTTGCATGTTTGGTTTGGTTATTTGACAATATGCTTTTTGTCTTCTCTGCAGTTTATGTACCTTATTATTGATAGCCGTTGTTTCTTTGACTATTCCATGCTTATTTGTATTTTATTATACATGTTATTGAGCTGACATGTTATATAAATTGAGTATCTTTTGACTAAACCTTGTCACTACTTTGTTGAAGTTAATCTTGATACTTATGGAGTATATGGGGTCGGTTGTACTCATACTACACTTCTGCACCTTGCGTGCAGAGGTACTGAACTTTTCTGAATGACGAAGGCTAGTATTAAAGATGTACCAGCGCTTCAGTTGCAAGCCACCACTTTGTTCAGGGTAGTTTAGGGCTTGTACTCCTGTTTATATATATATATATATATATATATATATTTCAAATAGATAATGTGATCTTTCTTCATATTAGTGTTGTAATCATATTCGTAGTCGCTCATGACTTATACTACCAGTTCTTGGGATAATTGTAATAATTTATGCATTCTTATTTTATTATTTTTTTGATGATTTTTCTTCAAATTGTATTATATGTTATTTGAATTACCTAGCGGGTTGGGTTAGGTGCCATCACGATATTGGTGGAATTTTGAGTCGTGATAGTTTCTGAAGTTGCTAGCGATAGAAGAACTTCATATCCCTATTTTCTAAAGTTGTATTGAAGTGATAGAAGAACTTCATATCCAATTATGAAGTTGCACTTTGAAGCGATAGAAGAATTTCAGATCCAATTTTTTTAAGTTGCAATTAAGCGATAGAAAAAATTCAGATTCAATTATGAAGTCACATTTTGAAGTGATAGAAGAACTTCAAATCTTACAAAATCCTAAATTTGAAAGTTCAATGCGAATTTTGAAGTGTGTTTTAAAGTGAATAAATTTTGCAAGTTTTGTGTAATGCAGGTATGAATTCAATATAATAACAATAACAATAAATTTAAGCGTAATCCCACAAGTGAAGTATAGATGGCTATGAATTCAATAATAGCCGACCGAAATTATCCTTGAAGGCCATCAAATTTACGACAATGCCCCTGTGTTTCCAATTAGGAGTAGTACCTTTATATTCTTTTCGTACCCTTTAAAAGTCGTTGAAAACACTGAAGTTGAAGCAGAGGAAAAAAGCAGCTGCAGTGAGTGTGGAAATCGGGCAATGGAAGGAGGCGCACAGTATAATCCTCGCACTGTGGAGGAAGTTTTTAGGGATCTCAAAGGCCGTCGTACCGGCTTAATCAAAGCCCTCACCGCTGGTATACTTTCACACACACACACACACATTCCCTTATCTGCAAACTGCATGTATATCATTATTTTTGTTTTTGCTGTCCAAAATTCTTCTTTTTCTGAGTTTTTCTTTTTTGGGTTTTAGCATGTATTATTATTGTACTCTGTGAGACTTTAATTTTGGGGAATTCTTTTTGCAGATGTGGAGGAATTTTATCAGCAGTGTGACCCTGGTGAGTTTTAGGGATCCTTACTTTTGTTTTCAATTCCCATTAGCTCGTGTTTAAGTATTATTCGCATTTACTATTTATTTATTTGGTAAGTTTTCGCTCACTGCAATAAATATATTCTTAAAAAAAAAATTTCAATTGAATAAATTTGCAGTGGGTTCTGATTCCTATTGTTAAGAAATATTTGCTAATTTTCTGCTGTTAAATATTGCTGCATTATTGTTGTTTTAACCTCCTTTTCTTTTCAGTTTTCCCGGGTTGTTTATGTAATTGCTTTTATGTGCTCATGAGTTCTGGAATATAAGTGTGATTATATTGAATTATGTTCTGTTCACTTATTAGATGGGGCTCTATTTGTGGACATCTTCTCTTTGCTACGATTTCCCTGAATTAAACCTTTTTATTAGATGTCCCCAAGGGACAAGCCTAATACACGATTGGGTCTTTCCGCTCCTTCAAAACTATTGAAAAAAAATCTTTTCTTTGAGTGGGAAGGCACACTCTGCACTTGAAAATGGGCGAAAGTGGAGAGGGGGGAGGGAGGGAGACATGAAATTAGGGTTTTTTTTCGAAGTGTCTATATAGGTCATAGCTCATTGGTTCCAGATCAGCCCTCCTGTTAGGATCGGGAACCCGGGTAGTGCGAAATTTAGCCAAATAACAGTATAATGACAATAACAAAGACAATGGAAGTTGATAATAACGGCAATTAAAGAAAATAAAGAAGACACAAATTTAACGTGGTTCGGTCAAAGTAACCTACGTCCACAAGCGGAGAGGGGCAATTTACTATACTAACTCTCATACAAAACACTCTTAATAAAGGAAGAAAGGAAGAAACAAGAAATGAAGACTCAAGTCTTGTTGGTGTGTCTAAAATGAACTAATAGCCTTCCCTTTTATAGGCAAAAAAGTCTTGGCCTCTTAGGTGAAAAAGAAGAGATACAATTTGTGCAAATGATGTCCAACACATAATGCAATATTTTTGGGTCCCAAAGAATATTGCCAACAA